GGGGAATGGATGAGGGTGCTGACAACACAGTGGACAGTGACAGGGATGGCAGAGTATGGAGCCTCTAGTGGGAGAGGAAGGCTGTCTACGTGACGAGTTTGTATTCATGCTCAGATGCCGAGGAGCTCAGAAGGTGGGCGACTGTGACCAGTAAGAATCTATTTTTTAAAAGAATTTTATTCCCAGAGGCTTGAGAGATGACTCAGTGGGTGAATTTCTTCCCACCTAAGCATGAGGACCTGAGCTTGGGTCCCCAGAACTCATGTAAACAGAAGCGGCAGTGTGAGTCTCTAACCCCAGCAGCTCTCCTGCAACACAGGCAGCAGACAAAGGAGAAGCCCTGGAGGCCAGCAGACCAGCCAGCAGAGGTGAAAACTCAGATGCTGTCTCAAAGAGAAGGGTGGGAACTGACACCTGAAGCTGTCCTCTGACCTCCACATGCACACCAGTGGTGTGCACACCCCCCCACAAAAACATACATACATCATATATACACAAAAGATAAAAAATACATATTTTTCCAGAGCAATAAGGCTTCACAGTCTCAGCAACAACTGTTCTTTCTATGGAATGAATTCTGCCTTCCACAGACCTGTGGAAACTGACGTTCATCATATGGTCTTTCAGAGTGAGGTGTTGGCTGTAGGCATGAAGCATACATGGCACCGGATTATACTTCGCTGGTGGGTGTCCTGGCTTTATGCATGGGCATCAGTGGAGAACTGACCTGAGTGGAGCTATTTAAAACGAACCCGAGTCACATAACAACGCAGGTGTGTTCTGGTAATGACAGGAAGACTGCTCAGATGTTCAGCTGATTCCTCTTCTCAGGGTTAAACAAAACCTAGAGTTCAAGGAATCCACAGGGCCTGGGTACAGCTCAGTGTGAAGAACCTGCCCAGCAAGTGCAAGGCCCAGGGTTCCAGCCTCGGCACCTGAAGAAACAGCAACGTCAAGGCTGCTGGGGGCCTCAAGTCTGTCCTCACCTCTGACCACACACAGGGCTTACTCCTTGCTGGAAAACACACACACACACACACACACACACACACTGATGCAGGTTACAAGCACAGTATTCCGTTTTCCATGATGTCATGACACGGAAGTCTGAGGGACAGTCCTCCAGTGTTTGAAAGTTTGCTAAGTTCACCAGGGAAGCTTCTGTCCTAAGAGCGGGGTTCCTGTGTATCTACGAAGATTCTCTTTTGCCTCACCCAGGAGTGTGAATCAAAGCACTAGTGCTTGCATCAGAAGTTCAGTTCCCTCAGCACGAATGTCCCCTCAGCCCCATGCAAGCTTCTGAGCCCCCTCTGGAAGGTTCTGCTAACTTCTGCAACAGGACGTCCCATGGAGGCGTGTGTAGTGCTTCCACCAGTGTTAAGGGCATCAAGCCTGTGCAGCGAACCCTCCCTTCCATTTCTTCAGGCCTCACTGAGCTTCCTGCTGGCTTCCAGGAGAACCTGCACTCAGGGTTTCCGTGTCTGGGGTGCAGGACTCTTGATCTTTCCCAGGCAGGCCACCTTCCATCATGGCTGTGTGTCTGAGGGTAGCTTCTGACCTGTATCAACCACCTCACTGCAGACTCCTCTTGACTCCAGACCCAGAAGGGAGGAAATGGGGCCCCAAAAGGCTTGTGTTTCCTTTCACCCCACAGAAGATGACCACTTCTTAGGACAGAACTCTCATGGAAAATAAGCTGACGATAGCCTGGGTATACTCCACCCCACAAGGCCAACAAGGACCAAAACAAGACTTAAACTTAACTCCAAGAGGGAGAGCTTGGTCAGCAGTATACTGGCCTGCAGCCCTGACCTGGCATCCTGCAGGCCTAAGGATGGACAGGGCTACCTGCTTCCCAAACACATGCCTCCGAGAGGCCTTGGGTGCAGCTCACACATGGGCCTGGGGGACTCTTCTGTGGGGAGACCCATGCTGCATGTATGCTTTCCTTCTCTACCCCCTGAAACTTGTTTCTTCTGCTGGTCCAAATTTCAGACAGTATCAGAAGGTAATGTCCTTCTCCTAACCACAAAGCCTGCAGCCAGACTATGCCCCTCCCTAACTCATGGGCAGGTGGGAAGACTGTGGGTGTGGGCTGAGGGTGTCAAGTTGCCCATTTTCTCAGTAAGTCTTAAAGTTCAAACATGGACTCCCACCAAGGGACTCCATGGACAATCGCTTTCAGGCTTTTCCCATTCCTGGGGAGGTGTGTGGCATCTGGTGCCCCTGCTGGGCCATGCTCTTGCACTGTGCACATCCTCTCCCTGTGGAGGAGCAGTGCCATTGGCCAGGTTCTCATTTGCTTTCTTTCTGTCAGAGGTGATGACGCTCAGCCTTTCGCACTACCACAAGCTACCAAGTCTAATTCACTCATTGATGTTCTGACCCCCAGGGCCTCAGAATGTGGCTCTGTTTAGAGATTTGTCTTCAAAGTGGCTATATGAGGCCACTGAAGTGGCCTTCACCCAGTGGATGGGCCTTTGGGAAGACCCAGGACACAGGCACCAATGGGGCACCCGCATGAGAACACAGAAGAAATTTTCAAGGTCAAATGTGCTGGTTAGATTTTTGACAACTTGAGTCACACTACAGCCACCTGGGAAGAGGGAAACCTAAACTGAAATTTCCTTCATCAGATCGGCCTGTGGCCATCTTGTGGGGCATTTTCTTAATTTCTAATTGATACAGAAGGGCCCACCCACTGTGGGTGGGGCCAGCCCTGGGCAGGCAGGTCTGGGCTGTATAAGAAAATTAGCTGAGCAAGCTAGGGACACCAGCCAGTGAGCAGCGTTCCTCCATGGTCTGTGCTTCAGTTCCTGCCTCCAGGTTCCTGCCGTGAGCTCCTGCCCTGCTTCTCTTGGTGTTGGATTGTAACTGGGGAGTTGTAAGATGAAGTTAAACCCTTCCCTCCCCACCTTGGCGTTGGTCAGTGTTTTATCAAATAAAAAATGAAAAATAACTAGAACCGTTAACCTGGCCGTGCTAGATACCAGTCCCTCCGTGTGTGGCCCTCAGCCTCCAAGTCTCCAGGACCAGGAGTGAATGTCTGCTGGCTCCAGGCTGCAGGCCTCAGAGAGGGTAAAAAACCTCATCAACGCCTCTGCATACATTCATGTCCAGGAACTGGGCGCTCCAGCCCTTCAAACACCTGGGAGCTTCTGTGTCAGGGTCTGAAGAACAGGAAATGTGCACCTCATTCCACCGCACATTAATGCATGTGTCATTTCTCAAAATTGTTGATCAGCAAATGTCACTCTGGAAAGACCTGCACGTTTAACTTGGAGCTGGGTATGAAAGGCTCTGTGCCCACCACGGGCATGCAGCTCAAAAGCTGAAGACCAGAGATGAAAGGGGAATGCACAGGGTCACAATATCATAGCCCCAGAGTGTAGCCAGAATGTGCAGGAAACTTCTGGCAGTCCTGGTTCATCACATGGGCTTCAGGTGGCAGGTTTTCATATTAAAAATGAGGAGGACCTGAACAAAATCAAAGTGTTCGAAGGGCCAACCACTTTTCTTGCTTTTGTCCATTTGCAAAGCAGCCATTAATAATCAAAATAGATGGGGAGACCGGGGTGTGGGAGGGGTGCCCTGTGGCGGGCACACTCCTTAAATGGAGGGAGAAGAGCTGATGTCGGGCAGAGCGGCAAGCATCCTTTTGTGCTGTGGACAGACCTTTCTGTAATTGTGTGTTCTGGACAAACAGACCGCAGGCACGGGGCTGAGAGGCCTCCCCGCACATCTCAGCAAAATAAGCCCCCTTTTAAAGTGAAACGGCATTATTGATCAAAGGGTGGTTCCCTATGTGAAGAAGGCACAGCTGGTGTCACCCGGTGCCTCGCACAGGCGGCACCGATGCCCTCTCTTATTAAAAACTGGTCAGATTGCGTTCCAAGTCCAGCCTGCAAAGTTAATGATAAGCACACTAAAGGGACAGCGTGGATGTGAGCCTTGTAATACACCGTGATTACTTGCACTGTTATTAGCAGCCTGAGCAGCGGGCTTGGCCGGATGGTATTTGACACACAGACGGATGCTCCCAGGCGCTCTGCACAGCAGCCACACTTCAAAGTCCTCGCCCTGCTGGCTTGGTTTACACCTGAGCCAATTAGCTGGGGAGATCAGAAGAGGTCTGAGAATGGAGCCCAGCCCTTATTCTGGGCTGGAGAAAGTCACTTGATCCCAGGTAAGCCGATATTAGAACAATAGAGAGAAATAAGGAGGGGTGGACAGAGGGCGCTGGGTGTTCTGCACACAGAGCAGGGGACCGGCCAGGCGCAGGCTGGAATGAGGCCTGGCCCTCGCTCAGGGGGTTTGTTGGGCCTTTGTTGGTAACAAAGGGGCTAATTGAAATGAAACAGTCTGCAGCCTGTTTGTTGGCACATCAAATATGCTGTAAGATATGCTGATGCGTGCTCCTCCTGAATTATTGAACATCACAGCTTCCAGAAATAAGACAGGCGGGCAGGATAGAGGGAGGGACTGACGTGGAGCTCTGCTTCTCTAACAGCGGCGTTGTCTGCCTGGACCCATAGGACAGGGCTCCAGTGCCCGGATGCCTCCTCATTTGGGTTCTCTCTGAAGAGGCAAAATGCACCAAACCCAGGGGAGGAGAAAGGACCCAGTCCCCACCCTCTCCACAAGAGCAGTTCATCCAGAGGGGGGCTGCTGTGTGCATCCACTGGGCCAAAGGCTGGAGTTCCATCTGCTGAGCCAACCTGCGCCACACACTTCAGGGAGGAGCACAGTGTTAAGTGGTGGTGATAAGTGAGGTAGGGCCTGCTGAGGGAAGCTCCAGTTCTGACAGGACCACCAGGGCTCCTGCCCTGCCATCGCGAAGCCAGACTGAGGCAGAGGGAGCAGGCTCTGCAGGAAACAGCAAAGGGGGGAAGGACGAGTTGTGCTACACAAGTTCTCAAAGTAGTGTGTACCTGTGGGCACGCTCACATGTGAGCATGTGTTCCCTATAGATGGGTGAGTGTGCACAGCATGCAGTTGGAAAAGCCACAAGTGCCTGGAACCAGAATGCCTCTCCTGAGTTCACCTCAGCAAAGGCTGAGCTGGGCTTTGATATGCTGCTTGGTATGTTGAGGAGTTTTTCTTCTAGCAGCAAGTTGGAATGGTATTGTTTCTGAACTCGCAGGAAGACAACATCTCTGGCATCTCTCCCTACCACGGGGAGCCTGAGACATTATGCGTCGTGAACCAAAAGATACCAAAAGATACTCAGGAGTCAGAGGCCATGCTAACCCAAGAGCCCCTCTCTGCAGAGCTCTGGGCCAAGAGCACATGAGACACTTCACTATCAGAGACAGAGCACCAAAGTTACCATCAGCTGCCCTTCCCAGCTGTAAGCACGTCCTCCGTCTGGGAAGACCTTGGCCACAGGAAGTTGAGGAGAGTCCCTTTGCACTGTGTGAACTGTTCTGTGACTGTTGCTCTCTTCTCTTTACTGAATGCCTTGCATTTTACCCCAGAGCCGCAAACTTGGTCTCCAATCTCAGCACTGTGAGGAGGTGATTGGAGTTGTCCCTGTGGAGGTAGATGCCAGCTCACTTCCTAACAGTTCACATCTCACAATGGCCACCTCACCTGTGCTCGATGGGGTCTGAAATCCTGGCTGGCATGGCCGCCAGGTTTTCTTGGCACAGCCCTGCCATTGGTGACCTATGGCTACTTTGGAAGGGACAGAGATCACAGGACCTGCAAGAATAGTAATGGACACTTCCTCTGCTAAGGCGAGTCCACCAGGCCTGCTCCAGGAGAGTTTAGATAGATGTCCCCACACACATGTCCCCGCTGACTCTAAAGGTGGGTGCCTGTCACAATGCACAGCTAGCCCAAACTAGAAGGAACTGCTGGTCTGGTCACAGATGGAGATTGAAACTCAGGGAGGACAGTGGCCACCCTACGGCATTAAGGGAGGCAGACTGGGGTTGTTCAGTCACAGGGCTTCCCTCCAGGATGGGGGCTGCAGCAGGGACGATGTGGGTAGGCATGCAGGGAGAGAAACACGCACAGGTATCAGCTGCTGACTGTGAAGAACGCCTTGCCTCCCTCTGCCTCCCACTCCTTCAGTCCACCCTGTCCCAACCTCTGTCTTGTCCCAAAGGGGCCCTTGTCTTCACTCAAATAAGGACCCCTTCTGCAGAGGAGGCTGCTGGTCCTCAGAGGTTACTGGGAGAGGCAGAGTCTCCTTCTTGGAGCAGCCTGACCTTCTGATCCGTGAATGAGCTGAGAGGGATAATGTGTGGGAAGGAGAAAAGACCATGCAGGCACCAGGGCAGTCCAAGGCTGGCTTCTCAGCTCTCCATCACCAAACCAGACCTGAACTCCCCTTCAGCTGGCTCTGCTGGACTCTGCTGTCAAGGGAAGGATTCTGGATCTCTACGGAATGTACGGTACACAGCATTAGACCACAGAAGCGGAAGGTTCCCTGAGTCTAGATTAGAGGTCTAAGCAACAATTCCAATGGAGAGCAGAGGAGCCAGGCAGTGAAGCCAGCCTGGCATGAGGCAATGCCAGCCAGGAGTCCAAACACCAGCTCTATGTAGAGCAAAGGGTGACCACAGCAGGTGTAACTGAGCCCTTAAGATCACTTCATCTCTCTGCTGGCCCTGAGCCCTGGAGGTAATAGAACCCGGAGCTCAGACGCCCCTGACTGCTAGGTGGGCCTGGCCTCACTCCCTGCACCCACTTCTCTGAGTGGTTACCCTGCCAACATGAAACAGCCCTTGTTTGATGATCTATAAAGTGGAAACGATCAAAGCCTCTTCCTCTCACCTTTGTGACAGGTGTGACGAGGGACAAGACTGGGTGTCAAGTCTAGCCCATGCTGGGTTTGCTGTCTGCTCGGCAGCTGCTCCTCCCATCCGTACACTGCTCTGACATGCTCATGCTGACCTGAGGCAGTTACACGTGATTTCTTATTTTCCTGGATGTTCTTCCTCCCACCCAGTTTGCTCGCTGATTCCATCCACCCTTCCTGTTCCAGATTCAGTTTCCCCTTCACTGAAGCTTGCCAGGTTCCCACACACTACCTGAATTGTTTGAATGTGAACTCTAAGCACACTGGAATAAATCTAAGATGAACATTGGCATTCTTAAAGCAGATTGATGTAGCAAGATCAACAGGGAAGCCAGGGAGGGAACTGCAGTGACACAGCATCTGCCAGTGGAATGGGAGGGAAAGACCAAGCTGTACAGAGATACCTCAGAGACGGTCAGCCAAAAGGTGCGGGCAGGAGAGGAGCTCGGGAGCCTGTCCTGGGAGATGATGACTCCTCCACAGAGCTAGGAGGAAGGAGATACTAAGTGAGAGGTCAGGACAGAGCCACAGTCCACAGGAAGTCATGCCACGCTCAGTCACTGGCTGGGGGCTGGCCATGGGAAGCATGGCCCAGACAGGAACATCAGTGAGATCGCATCACAGAGAAGAGCAGTTACATGCTCTGCAGCTGGGGTCTGAGAGGAGCATCTTCGTGGCGTCCACCAATACTGGAAGCATTTGATTGACACGAAGGAAAGATGGAAGAGAGGATCACATGGCCAGGTGAAAAATCAAAGGTCCAAATAACAGACTCAGTGCAATCATAGCAGTAATTACACTAAATATAAACAGACAAACATTCCAATAAGGACAGAGATCGTCCACCCAATGAAGCAAGAGCTGTCAATGCTCCGTCAGAGAGTAGATTCCACCCAGTGATGGACAGGGTTTTAGGACAAATATGTAGATAGATACCACTCAGTAATGGACAGATTTTATAGGACAGACAAGTACATAGAGATATCGATCAATAACTAGATAGAAAATAGATTGATAGATAGATGACAAATAGATAGCTGATAGATAGGTGATAGAGATATGGATGGGTGACTAGAGATAGATGATGAATGGATAGTAAGATATATGGATAAATGATAAATTGATAAATAGCTGTGAGGCAAATGTTATATAGGCAGATGATAGGTGGATGACTAGATATAGATAGATGATAGTAGGTAATAGATGATAGAAAGATAGATGATAGATAGATGATGATAGATAGATGATAGACAGACAGATAGATAGATGATAGATAGATAGATAATGATGATGATAGATGATAGATAGATAGATAGATAGATAGATAGATAGATAGATAGATAGATAGATAGATAGATAGATAGATAGATAGATAGATAGATAGATAGATAGATAGATAGATAGATAGATAGATAGATAGATAGATAGATAGATAGATAGATAGATAGATAGATAGATAGATAGATAGATAGATAGATAGATAGATAGATAGATAGATAGATAGATAGATAGATAGATGATAGATAGATAGATGATAGATAGATAATAATGATGATGATGAAGATAGATCGATCGAAAGATAGATAGATAATGATGATGATGATAGATAGATAGATAGATAGATAGATAGATAGATGATAGATGATACATAGATACATAGATGATAATGGTAGGTAGACGATAGATCGGTAGATAGATGACAGGATAGACAGATATGGGTGGATAGGCACATGAGTGATTGATGGATGGATGACAGAGATGGTATGTAAAGAGATGATAGTGTAGACATAATAGATAAAAAGAAGGAAGGAAGGAGGGGAAGGAGGGAGGGAGGGACGGTGGGAGGTGGGAAGGAGGGAGGAAGGAAAAAGATAAAGATAGTAAGGAAAAGAGAAGGAAATAGGGCCAAAGAGAGAAAGCTGCAGAGCCAGACAGAGAGCTGGTACGGACAAAGGGCCAGCTGCTCCTGAGTCCTCTGACTTCCTCTCCAGGTTCTGTGAGCCTCCCTGCCATGAGCGATGTCTCGAGACAGGAAGGAGATTAGATGGGAATCGTTTCTGGAAATCTAGTTTTCCCATATGAAGTTGTTTTCAAAGGATTCTTAGGAAGGCCTTTTGATTGGGCAAAGTGTTTCTGCACAACCATCACAGAGAACTTAAGGAGTGCCCTTCCATGAGAGGGTCCATGTCCCCGTGGAAGCGCTTAGCAAATTTAACATTTCTTCCAGGATTAAATATACAAGGACCAGACAGGGCTGTGGCCCTCATCTCAGAGTGCAGGTCCCAGAAGAGCAAGAACACTGCGTGCACTGTGCAGAGACCTGCAGTGTCTGTCTTCCCATTCAGTGCTGGTCTCCCAGAGCCCCACTCCTTCTCTACCCTCAAAGCCTTGGCTCCCTCACTACCCCTCCTGTCTCTGTCCCCACCCTTCTCAGAAGAACTCAGGTCCCCACTGAGAGCCATGGTTTCACATAAAAGCACCCCATCTTTGCAGTCTCTCCTGCTGTCTCTGCTCAGAGATTTTCCTGGGTACCTGTGTCCACCTTGACCACCATGAACCCCGGTCAGTACCCATACATCCCAACTCTGAGTGACAGTCATGCCTCACAACAGCAGAGTACTGAAATCTGTGAAATAACACAAAGTTCTTGCCCCACCTCACACCCTAAAAAGCCCATCTGGGAGCCAGGAGGGTCCTCACATACAGGTCTGGTTTGCCACCACGCTTTCTGTCCTTTCGCCAAATGTGCTCCCAGCCAGTACTACTCATGGTACAAGCACAACCCAGTTAGCCATCTTTCCACTTAGGAGGCTGAGTAAGGGTCCAGCAGGGTTAGCGCAAAGCACTTAGGACACTGGGAGAGGACAATATGAGGGGACAGGAGCCTGGGGCCTAGGCACGGCACAGGACAAACAGCACATTCGAAGGGGACCAGGAACTCTCGGCACACTCCTTCCTCATGCCTCAGTACTGAGCCTGCAGAATTCACACTGGCTGGTCCTGGTTGAATTGCCAAAGCAGACTGGGCAGCCTGGGCGTTTCTGTAGCACAGTGTGCCTCCCACTCTGTGACAGTGCAGGCCTCTTGATCTGGGTTACTACTGCCCAGGGTAGGGAAGGCACCTGGTGGCACCCCTCATGGCTGCCTGTTGAAGTTCGCTCTGTGGTCTTCTGTTTGGATTTTCTAAAGCAAACCACAGCCTTATAAAGCAGCTAACTGGCTTTCATCACGTCGAACTTAGGGTTTATAGGCTGACTTATTTTCAAATTCCGGTTGTGCTTCTTATGCAGCATCTGATAAGTTGGTTACTGTGATAAAATGCTCAGTTAAGCCTGGTATGGGGTTGTACACCTATAACCCCAGCACCTGGGGAGGTTGAGACAGAAGGATTTTGAGTTTGAGATCAGCTTGGGTTACACAGAATCTGTATCAGAAAACAAAAATGAAAGGCAGCAAAACTCTCTGTGCTCTTCCACAGTGCCTGGGAAGGACCCTTCCCAGTAGAGGCTAGCAGATTGCACAGCAGCCCAGCGTGAGGTATGGGAAGGATTCCAGGAGACCCATCCTTCAGAACACAGCATTTGTGCACCCAGCAGGCCAAGGACACACAGGAGAACCCAGAGAGACTGCCCTGTCCCTGTCTCCTGGGGCACTCACTCAGCCATCAAAATGCTAAGCACACACCTTACCATGTGTGTATATGTGTGCGTATGTGTGTAGGTTTGTATGTGTGCAAGTGTACATGTGTGTATTATTGCATATGCATGCATGCATGTGTGTCTTGTCCATATGTGCATGCATATGTGCACAGATACATGCAGATATACATGTGTGAAAATGTGTGGGTGTGTTCATGTGTGTGCATGCATGTGTGTGCATGTATGTATATGTGCCTGCATGCATGTGTGTATGCACATATATGTTCATGTGTATATGTATTTGTGCATGTGTGTATGTGCCTGTGTATGTATGTCCATGTATATAAGTATGTGTGCATGTGTGTATGTGTGAATATATGTGCATCAGCAAGTTTCTTTTGTGCCCAGGTGAGTATGTGCATATGTGTGCATCTGTGAGTGCATATGTGTGCCTGTGTGGCATATATGTGCTTGCATGCATGTGTATACATAAGTATATGCATGTATGTGTGCGAGTATGTGTGTATGGATGTGCATGTATTATCAGTCCAATTAAAGAACCTCAGCGTGAAAGCCTGTGGGGAATCAGGTCCCTGGCTTGGGTCAGGCAGGTGTCAGAATGCTCTGCCTTTCATCAGCCATCAGGGACCAATATAGAATCAAAAGAAAACCTAAAGCCCAGACCAACCAGCTTTTCATACCCAATAGGAAAACAACAAAGGCACATCAAGTAAACAAACAGAAACAGACCTAAACTCGACAAGGGAGCCTTGAGTCTTGCACACGAATCAGAAACAACAAAAGGAATCCACATGCCAAAGTCACAATGAACAAATAACATGAAAACCCCAAATAATATGTCCCCACCAAGCACCCCGAGTCCTATAGAGGAGGAGTATAGTGAGAGCCCCCTAGAGGTAACCCAGGACATGGAATTCAAAAGAACAATTATAAACATGTAAAAGAATTCAATGAATTTAAAGAACACACAAAGAAATGAAATAACTGAAGGAAGATGGGGATAAACTTCTGAGTGAATTCACAGAAGACTTAGAAACATTGAGGAAAACTCAGACTGAAACGAAGAAGGAAGTGAAACACTCATTGAGCCAACTAGAAACGACAGGCGAAAGCCTCACCAATAGGATGAATGAAACGGAAAACAGAATAAATAAAGTTGAAGAATTGGACTGCTCAAGCAGATTATGAAAAATTTAAGAAAACACAGGAATGGAATATGCAGGAATTGTGTGACACCATAAAATGACCAAATTTATACATCATAGGCATGCAGGAAGGAGAAGAATCTCAGGATAATGGTATGGACCAGGTCTTCAACAGGATTGTAGAAGAAAATTTCCCCAAATTAAAGAAAGACATGCTCATACAAATACAAGAAACACATAGAACCCCAAATAGACAGGACCAGAAAAGAAACTCCCCACGATATATCGTAGTAAAAACACTAAACGTTCAGAACAAAGAGACAATACTGAAAGCAGCAAAACAAAACCAACAAGTCACACGCAAAGGAAAACCCATCAGGATTACCGCTGACTTTTCAGTGCAAACTACGAAAGCCAGAAGAGCCTGGACCAAAGTATTCCCAGTTCTAAATACCATAGATGCCAACGCAGATTACTATACCCAGCAAAAAATATCTACTATAGTTGAAGCGGAAAGAAAAATCTCCCACAACATAAATAGGCTGAAAGAATTCATGTTCACAAAACCAGCCCTTCAGCGAATTCTTGAAGCAATACAAAGAACCAGAAGAGGGCTTCAGATGCCCTGGAACCAGAGTTAAGGCCAGTTTGTTAGCAGCCATATGGGCCCTGGGAATTAAACCCAGGTCCTCTGCAAGAGCAGCCAGTGCTCTTAACTGCTGAGCCGTCTCTTCAGCCACACACGTTCTTCTTTTTAGTGAAGTCACACAATCCATTGTATGTGTGTACATGTTGCTGGGAGGGAGGGGCATGAAAGCTTGTGTGTGTGCATGTGTAGGACAGAGGGTACTATCGGGTATCTTCTTCAATTGCTCCCACCCTATTTTTTGAGGCAGCATCTCTCACTGACTGTGGATCTCACAGATTTGTCTAGATTAACCGCTGAGCTCCAGGGAGCCTCCTGTGTCTGCCTCCCCCACACAGGGGTAATAGACCATGCCTGGCATTTTATTGTGTGTGTCTTGGGGCTCCAAACACAGGTCCTCATGCTTACATGCTAAGCACTTTGCTGACAGAGATGTTTCCCAGTGTCACCTGAAAACCTTTAGAACAGACAACGTCATGAGCCCAAGGCCTGGTTTAAGACATGATTCAAGAGCGAGCTGAAGCTGGCTGTGTCCACTTTCTTGTTTGAACAGTCTGAGGAAACTGCATAGAGAAAGATACATTCTGCATAAATATGTATTTAAACATTTGAGTTGTTTATCTTTCGTTTAGTTGGAGCCTACTTATGGGTTTGATTCTTCACTGATTTTTTTATGTGAATGAGTTCCGTAAGAACAACAAATATTTCCTGAGGTCCCAATTTTTTTTAACGTAAGACAAATTGTTGTTTTAACAGATGTGAAACTGGGGCAATTATAATTAAATATTTTTATTGAATTTTTGTGATTTTTATACAACGTATTTTGATCATATTGAGGCCCTGGCCCCAATGTGTACCCCTTCTTAGTACTCTGCCCAAATTCATGCACCCTATTTATTTAAGGCCTATCAAGCCAAATTGATGTCCCTACATGTCCTTTGGTGTGGGTCTACTCACTGGATCCTGGTTAACCTACCCGGTATCACACCTTTAATGAACATCGATGCTCCCTCTTCAAGGGCAATCATTGCTGATAGCTCCTTGGCTAGCATTGGGATGTCTTATCCATGTCCACGTCTGTACCGGGATTTCGTCTCACTTAAGCTTACATGTGACTTGTGCGTGCTGCCACCGTGACTGTGAGTTCACTTGGGAAACTGCTCAGCTGTCTGGA